TTAGCAGACATTTTTACCTAAGCTCTTTGTGAAGAAATTGTTTTCGTCGTATAAGAGGTATACTAGGCATGTGTATCACTTAAATCATGTTTGCTTGATTATTTCTTAGTGTTTTGCAAACTTTTTAAACGGCCTATATAGTTTCATGGATATTCATGATTTTCTTTCATTTTCAAATTGTGGATTTATATCAAGATTTTCATTTGGAATTATATTTTCATGATTTTTCATGATTTTTCATGATTTTTTTTCATGGATTTTCATGATTTTCATGTTTCCCTTTTCATTTGAACTTCCTTTGGTATCATTTGTGGCTTTCATTTGAATTTTCAAGGATTCATGGATCCTCATGATTTATTTGGTATCATTTTCATGGACTTTCAAAATACTTTCATTTGCTATTGGATTCATGGATCCTCATGATTTATTTGGTATCATTTTCATGGACTTTCAAAATACTTTCATTTGCTATTACTTAAATTGTTTTCCATGATTTATTTGGTATCATTTTCATGGACTTTCAAAATACTTTCATTTGCTATTACTTAAATTGTTTTCATGTATATTACGGATGTACTTATGTTTGAGACCTTTATAACACATTTCTTAATGATATATCTATATGTATTCTCTTATCACTTTGTATGTGAGTTGTGATTAGCGTGTTTTTATATCTATGTTTACTCACATATATGCCTTATTATATTTTTTATATGCTTTATGGCTTTTTGATAGGGGGAGTCTTCCCTATCTTTTTCTATGTTCATACTCACCCATGCTTATATGTAGGAGGAGCTTAATGCTCTCTTTCTCTCTTAGTGTTTTCTCCATTTGATGTTGACAAAGGAGGAGAAACAAGTGTATTGTGAGTATTTTATTTTATTTTTGCATGAGGATAATAAATTGTATATTCATTTGTTATCATGCATGTTTTATATACTCTTTGTGTAGATTGTTTGTCATCATAAAAAAGGAAGAGATTTTTAGGTCTCATGTCTATGAGCCTATTGTCTAATCTTATTTTGATGATTAACAAACAATTCCTAACAGCTTTTATCGAGTGTTTGCATTTGATTGTTAGGAATTCTACACAAATATCCTCCGTTAGAGGTTAGATGAACTCGCACTTTCACGATGGTATTCAAAGGAGGTTAGTGGAAATCGGAATGAAGCCGTCGCAATTCAAGATAAGATTAATCATCGCTTCATCCACAATCAAGTCGAGCATATTGAAGATCATTTGCCTTGGGTATAATGGTCTAGATTTATATTTTGTGTGTTTATACTTGGAACTCAAAACTCATACACACACAATTATTTTGATTTATCGCTGTTTTGGGTTATAGACTTAATGACGATATTTTATATCTTTTTTTAGTGAAACTCTCTTCATATAAACAAAACACACTTGATTTTCTATTGAAAACTCTTAAAAACACTTACAAAACCTTTTTCTAAACTTCCATAAGTGAAACAAATGAGTTATGAGGCATATATACAGCCTCACAAAAAGAATTAGCCAAAAACTAGCTATTACAGCCTAAAATGACCGTTGTCGATTGACTTATAACCATTGATCGGTAGACTGATGAATTAAAAATACAGACGACTGAAAGAGCTCTGATCGGTCGACTGGTTGCACCTTATCGATCGACTGATGAAAGGGTGTCGGTCAACTGATAACATGCACGACAAATTTTGAAATTTTGCCGACCTGATTTTCTAAATTCAATTTATAATAGCAAATCAACTCCAAAAATAGTAAAATTTGGGACAATGTTTTTACACATGAAGATAAACAAGTTAGAGAAAACAATTCTAAAATATCACTTGGCATTTGTGAAAACTCATACGAAAACGTTAAAACTTGATTTTGATAAAATCATTTCAAGTACGTTTTGACATACTTACAAATAGATTAATAGACTTAAAAAAAGATATAAGATAGTATCGTTAAGTCTATAACCCAAAACGACGATAAATAAAAATAATTGTGTGTATGAATTTTGAGCTCTAAGTATAAACACACAAAGTATAAACCTAGACTATTATACCCAAGGCAAATGATCTTCAATATACTCGACTTAGTTGTGGATGAAGCGATGATTAATCTTGTCTTGAATTGCGACAGCTTCATTCCGATTTCCACCAACCTCCTTTGAATATCATCGTGAAAGTGCGAGTCCATCCAACCTCCAATGGAGGATATTTGTGTAGAATTCCTAACAATCAAATGCAAACACTCGACAAACGCTGTTAGGAATTGTTTGTTAATCATCAAAACCAGATTAGATAATAGACTCATAAACATGAGACCTAACACCCTCACCCCCAACAAACCACTAACATCCTAATGTCCGAAAATAAAAAGAAAATAGAAAAAATAGGGGCTGAAATAGGCAAGATGAGGAGATTTAGTATTTTCTTGTGATTGTTTGAATTCACATATTTTGGGATATTGTGCACCACACCATCTTTGTTTGATTTTTCATTAAACTTAAAGCATGAACCACAAGATCCAATGGTTAAAAAGGTAGGAGGAGATTCCTTCTCCTCTTTGGAGGAGTATAGTCCATCTCTAGTATTAATATATTAACGATGATAATGATAATGACAATGAACTAATAAGAATAATGATGATGATGATGATAACAATAATATAAAGCAAATAACTTTCAAGTTTTGAGGACACCTTGGCAGGTGACTCCTGGTTGTCATGATATCTTGAGGAATTATCAACCGAGCAAGTTCATGTTTTTCCAGGAAGTTTTCAGGATAGTAAATAATATATTAAAGCATTCTTGTTCTACCACCAATCAAGCTCTTAGTGTCTCCACTAGCTAAACTTACCTTTGTATTTTAAAGGCTTAAGCAATTGGAGTGGCTGATAAGTGAATCGAGTGGAGTATTCTTGTCCCAAAAAAGTTGTTATATGGAAACTATGTTGCATGGGTACATGTACGGACACGGAAAATTTGTAAAAGGTAGGGTATAGGGACACATCTATTTAAATATTTATATACACCTATCTTATATATTAGAACTAATAATTTCTATGAGAATAAGGATGATAATTAAAATTCCTAGAAAAATCTTATGTTTCTTTTATTATGTGGATTATAAATTGAAAAACCACTAGTTTTTGAACTAGACATCCAAACGACCCTCCAAAATCATGATTTGAAAGCTGACTTTTGTCCAACTAGTTTCAAGAAATGAATATGAAGTGTAGGATATGATATATCTAAAAGTTGTATGACAAGTGTTTTAAATAAAAACATGTATTGTATAATTGAGTACATGCCAGAATAAATGTATGCATATATGCAAGGAGCATCCGAGGAGTTCGGGTACGGGCACGGACGTGTCGGCTATGGGTACGGCTTCAGTTTAGAAGTACCCAGGTGATATAGATGGCAACAAACCTCTGTAAAATCTAAGAAGCAGGCAGGAAGCAGTGAACTCTAGTCTCTACAACCGTCTTCATGGCTGTTTTGTTTATTATATCATGTCTTGACCTTATATATTACAGAATGTAAGAGTAATGATCATAACAATAATCATTTAGATTGTAAGAGTAATGATCATAACAATAATCATTTAGATTTTCCATTTGGTCTGGGAAGGATTAGTTGTTATGCGCTTATCCAGAAATTTTGAGAGATCAATTTATTACAATTTGTCTTATATAGTTCTCATTTAATGTAGTTATGTCTTCAAATACCTATAATCCATCCACTCTTCTACACTTCCAGTGGTTGTGCTATGATGCTTAATATCGCAGAAATAGATGTCCGTTGAAAGATAATTGGCGAGGGCTTCTCAATTAAGTTATTCAGGAATTAAAAAAATTTTGAGTAGTGCATTTATTTTTCTCATTCAAAGATGTTTCTTAAAATCGTTCTGAATAATTACCAGGGAGAGTGACCTCCAGGTTGGAGAACAACACGATTAAGAACATTGGTAACGTTGATAATAAAACCTTTGGAGTCTGGTATTTTACTCTTTAAATTCAGTTCACTTGATGTTGTTGAGCTTTATTCAATGCAGCCTTTGTCTTGCATTCTTTGTGCAGAAATTGTATCACCATCTTTGAAATTGTCTACGTGGAGAAGTTTGTAAAAATAGTCTGTGAAGGTAGACTGCATATATTTTAATTTTTGTACCAAAACTCTTACATTTTAGTAGATTAGATTAATCATAAGCTAAGTTGCATAGACATGAGTACAACTGCTGGTACTGGTGTGTTTACGGGTACGAGACACGACAAGTTTGAAAAAGGTAGGGTACAGGGACACAACTATATACATATATTGGAATTAATAATTTTCATAAGATCAATTATATAATATTTTTCATTCACATGTTGTGAGAGGTAAATTTCCATGACATTTTTATGTTTCTTTTATTATATAGAATATAAATTGCGAAAGCACTCGTTTTTTAACAAGATACCCAAAACTTTGAAATCATAATTCTGGACTGGGTACGCACTGAAACAAACCTGTCCAACAAGTTTAAAGAAGTGAATGTGTAGTGTAGGTTAAACGTTCAAGAAGTGTAAGATGAATATTTTAAATTAAAGCATGTATTATATAACTGAGTACATGTTTGAATAAATGTATGCGTATATTCCAGGACTGTCGGTGTCCAATACGGGTATGATACATCATTGAAGTGTCCAAGGAGTGTCTACTAAGTACTAGGTGTCGATGTTTTGTACGTGTCGGGGATGGGTACGACTTGATGGTAGAAGTACCCAGATAACATAGATCATAAACCTCTTCTATAAAACTTCGAGATTTTATGGAAATTCATAATGGAATCTAATGCGTCATATTTTGTGTAAATTGAGGATAGAATAGTTGGATTCTAAATAATATTAAACATTCAAGTTTCATGCAAATTTGATTAAAAATCATAATGAAGTACCCAGGTGTGCATCTGAATTGTTCTGCTGACTTTAGTGTGTTTACGCTAAAACTAAAATTTGTATATAGGAATCAGAAAGAGACTTACCTAGGAGCTGGACTCCTGTCGTGGAATTGCAGTACAGAGGAGGAATATATAGGGGACGATGCCAAGGAGGTCTTCCTGAAGGCAAGGTATCCCTCTTGTACATAATTGAAATGTTTAGCTCTTCCCCAATGTCTTCCCATTCTGCAGAGTTGAATTCCAAGCCACTGACATTCAGAGAAGGCCAGTTGACTAATGTGAACAACTTTATCCTTCAGGGATGTTTGTCATTAACTGATGGAAGTTTCTATGATGGCATGTGGCATAATGGTAAGAGAACAGGTCTTGGTACATTCTGCTACAGTAATGGTGATGTGTTCCAAGGAGCATGGAGGGATGACCTCATGCATGGAAAGGTGAGATTTTTTTGCACACAATTCTCGGGGATTCACTTAAATTGATGTTTTCTCTTTCCAATCAAGTACTTTGTGAATGCTTGCTTAATTGTGACACCACTATGCTCAGATACTCTGTGACAGGAGACATGCATCCTTCAGAGATATTCTTTGGGTTTAAGCCTCCCCCTTTGACCATACTCTCTTTTAGTGTTTGCATCTGTTGTATTCCTTACTTTAATGAGATTGCGCAGACAAATGCTTCTAACAGACTTTAGTGATTTCTCTAATTTTAAGGTGCATATGTGTGTTTTGCAGCACAGGTGAAAAGTTTTAGCTCATCCTCTTTCTTTTGTTGAATTCCTTTTTTATGTTAATACACAGATATGAGCTTAATTTTGATGTGGGTGGGTTTTTTTTTTGGGTGGGTTGGGGGGGGGGGGTATTGTATCCCATGTGCATGTGCATGCGTCTAGGTCATAGGTGTGTGTACTGAACGTGCTGGTGCCACTTGGCATTATTTGCTTCGATGCATTAGTTGGATGTTTTAAGAAAGAAAGTTCACAATAGTTGTTAAACTAAAAATAAAAAGGATTTATATGTAAAGCTGACCTCAAATTTCTCTTCTCCAATTTATGTGATTTGGAAACAACCAAAACACAGTCTCTTCCTCTAATAATCCTTGCTTCATCTTCTTTAAAACCCATTCTGTCACAATCTCTTCCATTGTGTTCTTCATGCACATCGAAAAGAAAACTTAGTGAACATTGACTTTATGAAATTAGCATTTAGCTAGATAGACTTTTATATATTTTGATTTTACATTCTAAATATTACCACTGTTCTTTTCCTTTATGAAATGCTCTTCTTTTAGCCGGTGCAAGAAGGATGTATAAAATAATGGGAGTTATCTTTGATATGTTGCACTTGTTGAGGGAAAAGAGACCTGTTCTCAACAACTGCAAATGGGATACAATTGTGCAATTATCAAAGGCTATTATCACAACCCAGAATTCTAAGAGAAATCGTTGCTATGGGATGTGTTTCTTCATGGTTTGAAGGAAACGAGGTAAATTTATGGGGATGAACGGAGGCGGAGGCTTGTGATTCGCAGGACACTGGAAAGGAATTTAGGGGCCATTTTGCACATTAAGTCCTTATATTTAGTTTTAATACCAAGTAGTCTAAACTTTCTTTTTAAAACATCCTATTAATCCAGAATCAAATGAAGCCATGTGATGCCAATACAGTAAATTTGATGTGCTGGCAGCTCTCCAGTGCATGGGTGTGCATATATTGTGAACAAACGAACAAACCGATGATTTGAGGTTTGTAGAATTTTCTGTGTCAGTCTGCTGTATCCAAATCAGTTGTTCTGGTGTAGAAAAGCTGACAAATCACAGTAAAGATCCTCCAAATGAATAGTGGACTGCAAGGATTTTTCCTTTACCAAAACTGTCATATACAGTCACCAATGCGTATAAGATATCTCATTCAATAATCATGAGATATTTGCGTGTGCAGTGGATTGATGAGGGTTGGGGTGGAGGTTGGGTTGGCGGTGGGGAGGGGGTTCCTTTCAATTTAGGGGTATAAAAGAGTCAAAAATTATCACGTAGTAATCACATGATGCTTGCTAAATAGAATCTTCAATAGTCATGTAATGTAATATACAAAATATGAATTTGGTGAAACTTTTGGGTATCATTTGGGCAAATTTAAATTTCAGGGTATCAAAGCTAAAAATGGGCGAAACTTGAATTAAACTGCAATTAACCCTAATAAATATGAAGAAAATCTTGACATGTAGGAAAAAATTGTGGCTTAATTCTGATATAATTACTTTCACTTGACCGCATTGTTTGGCAAGAAATGCTGAAATGTATCTAATGTACAGAAAGCATTCATTGGACTCGAGACTTTTGATGTAAACAATTAAGCGCATTGTTTATTGCTTCCAGGGTTGGTTCTATTTTCATACTGGAGATCGTTGGTTTGCAAACTTTTGGAAGGGGAAAGCAAATGGAGAGGGTAGATTCTATTCATATAATGGGAGCATCTTCTTTGGCTTTTTCAGAAATGGTTGGCGTCATGGTGAATGCATATGCATAGATGTTGATGGCTCAAGGTACTAACCATTTAAGTTATCTATAAATTAGTACAATGATTCAAAAATTATTTTGTTGGAATGTGCTAACTTCCACTTGAATTTTACTTTACCAAGTTTTTTCAATATCTCGAGGATAGAGTTGGGAGTTTCGGATTTCTGTGTTGGATTTTCCCTTGTTACATACTAAAGGTTTAAAGGTTTAAAACATTATGTTTTCATTTTCTTTTCTCTTTCTACCTTTAATAGCATGTTCTTATCGCGATGAGTTTTGGTTATAGACAAACAAACAAATACATGCAGACATATGGTGTTTTGCCATGTGTTCACTGGTAGAAGAAAATCATTTAAAGAACAGTTGTACATAAGAACATTCATGAGAATAGTTATTACATTAAGTTACAATAATGCAGGATGAAAATGTTAAAGAATGTTTTCTGATAAAGAGAGAATTTAAAATTGTGACTTTTTGCAGGTGGACTGAGGTCTGGAAAGAAGGTGTGCTTGTTAGCAGGACTTTGCTGGAGAAGGGACCTAAAAGATAGTTGATCACCATCCATTCTCATTTGTATGGGGCTAATCTCGGAGTAATTTGTACAGTGCATATAGATTCTCGGGTAATTCCACGATGAGATAATATTTCATGGTCAATTCGAGGTGGATGAAGCTTGGTCTCAAATCCTCTCACACTACAGTACTACAAGGAAATAAAGAGCTACAAGTGTTAAAGACGTTGCTGGCTGTGCTAAAGTTCCCTGGGGAGAGATTCTAAAAGCATTAGCTTTGCGATGGGCCCTTCATGAGTCTGAGGCATGTTCTGCCAAATTAGAGGATATGGAAAAAAAAATGCATATTCTGGCACGAATGACATGGAAGATTCTTTGGTCGTTTTGAACATGCTTCTGGTTTTGTATTAGTATAGGATCACTAGGCATATCGTTCAATTTTTTTGACACTTGATGCCAATGATGTGTTTGGTTTCTTCTGTAATCAACGTCAGTTCCCTTGACTGAATTTTTTTGAACTTTTAAACATGGATCTCTATAACGGTCTATGAATGAGAGCATAAAAGCTTATGCGCGAATCATCTGAGTTCTCTTTTTGCTTCCAACATATTTGTATGCTAACCCTGATAATTATTGACTGAACACAGAAAAGTATCGACGGCTGCAGGAAAGAACAAACTGAAAGAGTTTGCTGCTACAGCACGCAAAATTTCTTCATGGTGATGAGCAAAGTCTGGTGCTAATGGACCGATAAATTCATAAGATTGGGCAGCAACTAGTCTCCTAGTTGTCTTGTTTAATTTCGGGAAATTTTTGTAAGAAAAGTTTTTCGTTTATTTCCTTTTTTTTTCCTCAAGAACACCGATCCTTTCATTTTGATAGTATGTGAGGTGCTCTGATAGTTAAAGGGTTAATTGTCGATAAACCCTTAAACTATTGAATTTCACAATGAGAAGTATTTTTTTTAGGCATGGGTGGGGGTTTTAAATTTTCAGATCTTTAAGGATTGTTCATAGTTTTCATATCTTTAGAGGTCTGTTTTTCCCCAGGGTGACTGTAATTTTATGGGTATATCTGCAAATAGAAATGATTTGAAGTATGTTAGCCTTGATGGATAATTTTTGTCAATATAAAACTGTGGGGTAATACCATTGTTGGTGTTAAGTGCAAATAGCAAAACCTTTAGAGGGTTTAATAGAATTTCCAAACTTATTGAGTGCTAAACGCCCAAATTTATTGGACATTTTAGTGAAATTTACCCCTTAAAATTAAGGAGGGCAAGATGGACTTTTTTTTAAAGATGTAAGGTTAAATAAAAAATGAAAAACATGAGTAATTAAAGAAATAAAAGTTAGAAACATGATTATTAGTTTTTCTAGTTATCGATGGTCATAATTTGATTAGGATTACAAAATATTTGATTATTAGAATCTTCTAATTATGAATAGTTTTAATTTGACAAGAGTTGTCAAATGAAGATAATTTTAGGTGTACGCATAATTTGATTACCACATAATTTGATATTAGGTGAAGAAAAATTTATGTGTAGACATGTCATCTTAATAAAAGGATACGGCTCAATTTTAAGTTTTGAATAGCAAACATTTATTTTTATTTTATTTATTTATTGTAAATGCAAACGACCAATTTCTCTTTATATATAAAAGGAGGGATACTAAACATATGTATCCGAGATTTTTTTATTAAATTATGGATAGTTTTAATTCGATAAAATCACATGATTAAGCTACATTGTGGATGTTCCGCTCCGTTGAACTTGATCTACATATTCTAAAACCCCAACACATCAAGTTTGAGGTGAACCCATCGTCGTTTGACCCTCCGTCGAGCCATGTGAAAAGTTCTATTCATGTTGGGGTTTTAGAATATGTATAAAAGGAGGGATACTAAACATATGTATCCGAGATTTTTTTATTAAATTATGGATAGTTTTAATTCGATGAGGATTCTTAATTAGATTAAGATAAGAATAGATGTACATATGTCATCTTTTCATAGGATAGTGGAACACATGACTATTTTTTAATATGTCATCTTTTGATAGGATAGTGGGACACATGGATATTTTTTAATATGACACAATTAGGGCTAAATTATTAGATTGGTTTTTTTATATATAAGTGTTCCTAAGGTAACGCCTTAGATAATTATTTAAGGACACGGCCTAAAATCACATGATATAGCTACATTATGGATGATCCGCTCCGTTGAACTTGATCTACATATTCTAAAACCCTAACACATCAAGTTTGGGGTGAACCCATCGTCGTTTGACCATTCATCCACTCATATCAATTTTAACGGTTTTGAATGAATAGAACTTTTCACAAATTATTTAAGGACACGGCCTAAAATCACATGATATAGCTACATTATGGATGATCCGCTCCGTTGAACTTGATCTACATATTCTAAAACCCTAACACATCAAGTTTGGGGTGAACCCATCGTCGTTTGACCCTCCGTTAAAATTGATATGAGTTGATGAAGGGTTAAACGACAACAGGTTCACCCCAAACTTGGTGTGTTGGGGTTTTAGAATATGTAGATCAAGTTCAACGGAGCGGATCATCCATAATGTCGCTCAACTCCGTTAAAATTGATATGAGTTGATGAAGGGTTAAACGACAACAGGTTCACCCCAAACTTGGTGTGTTGGGGTTTTAGAATATGTAGATCAAGTTCAACGGAGCGGATCATCCATAATGTCGCTCAATCATGTGATTTTAGAGGCGTCAAGGAGGAAATCCCCTCCTATGACAAGGATACATATATATATGAGAGAGAGAGAGAGAGATTTAAAACAGACGAACAAAAAAGCAAATTCTATTTCGTGCTGACCAAATTAGGCACAACCGCATATTTTTCTTATAATGATACGCCAAGTGCTAATATTTTTTTAAATAAGTCCCCCAAATCTAATATTATTCTTAAATGATATCAATTTTATAAATTCTCATAAATATACCCCTCAAACTTGAAATTAAGTTGTTAACTTAATTCTAAATTAACTAAACTGCATTAATCTTTCTAGTTTTTTCCTGATGTTCTCTACATAGTTATACTTAATACCTGCAATTGTAGTAGTTACTTCTCGTTATAATTATTTAATAGGTTAAATTACACTAAACCCTTATGAACTTTTAGCCCCAATGAACTTTCAAAATCACAATTCTAAATTAACTAAACTGCATTAATCTTTCTAGTTTTTTCCTGATGTTCTCTACATAGTTATACTTAATACCTGCAATTGTAGTAGTTACTTCTCGTTATAATTATTTAATAGGTTAAATTACATTGAACCCTTATGAACTTTTAGCCCCTATAAACTATCAAAATCACATTAAACCCCTAATAATTTTTCTATTTCAAAGAAAGCCCCTAATAACTTTCTAAAATTTACAGATAACTCCTATAAATTAGAACTAAAAATAGCATTAAAAGGAAATTTGAAGTCATTGGAGGTTTGGTATAATTTATCTAACAGATGTTGGGGGCTTTCTACAAAATTTATTATGGGTTTAGTGTGATTTCGAAAGTTCATAGGGTCTATTTATTACAAAATGCTAAGAGTTCATGGGATTTTACTGTAATTTACCTTATTTAATATTATAATCCTTAGTTTAAGTAATGTTATTAAAAATAGTTATACTATATTTATACTATAAAATAT